CTGCTGTACGGCAGAGTTATCAGAGATTTTTCACTGTAAACAGCCACCTGCTGCTTCTGCTGCTGGAAACAAGGTTGATGAGAGCAGAGTTTCAGGCTGAAAAATTAACACAGTGATCAAAAATATACCATAGAGCTGAAGGGGGACAGTTCTTGGTGGGTTCTTAACTAGGACCAACCTCTTTCACATTATACTGTATGTGGTCATTTGATCCACTATTGATACAAATAGTATGGATTAGGGTAGCATTAAATTTTGACATTAAGTTTAGATTGAATTATTTTGTTAAAGGTAGGATAAGGTCTTTTTATCATGGCTTTGTCTATTTCCATGAAAACAAATTACCTGGGCTATGAAGTCAGACAGAAGACTGCACAGCACAGACTTCCTGTTACATCAGACTCCTGCATTAGCTTTTGACTGGTCATTTTCAGGACCATTTCCTACATTTTTGGAACAAGTGCAGCCGGAAGGAGGCAAGAGGCAGAGCCATAATGGAGCAGGTAAAACCTGAGCGAGGCCTGATGCACAGATGAGCTCCATCTATATTTTACACTCTAACATACATTTTGTCAGGAGGTGACAGGAGGCTCCATTCCAACACTTTAAACTTTTACTAACAAATATTACGATAGTGTGTCCTGCTGTATTTGTCAGGAAAGGAAAAGTGTGTATGTGTGCACGTGTGTGTGCGCGCGCATATTGACAGGTGACAGGTCTTCTGGGCCAGTGAACTAGACAGACAAGACGCATCACTGTCACCTCATGGCTGGTCTGACAGGCAGACAGGGCGGCCATGACAGGCGTAAGTAACACGTTTTAGCCTGGATGCTAACACACTGTGACATATGCTCCCAAACACACAGGCTGCCCACTCACCACTTACAGTTTCTACACTAATTATAGGCACCACGCAATGTTTTCGGTGGAATGCCAATGATTTGGATGAAACCCAGTGGTGTATGATGCCTCCGTGTATATGTTTGCCTGTCATGCGGAGGCAGTTCTGTGCTGAAAAATGTTTTAGGGGTTTTTTTTTGTCTTGGATGCGATGCCACTAATGTATTTGTAACACCACTTACTGAGATGACAAATGAAGTATTTGGAGTAGAAAGACGTTACAAGTCATTGGTTTCTCTTAATCAAGTTTCAATTTAGGAAAGAAAAATCCTACATGCTTTATTGTTGGTAAACTCAATCAACATGCATAATGAGAGCTAATGGGCTCTATCGTCATGCAAATGCAGACTAAGGGGATGGAAAATTCAACAGTACTATACAGTTATGTGTATCATCAATCTATGATGTTTAAAATGTGCTGGGTGTAATGTTGTGACTCATTTTGGTAATTCTCTTTGTTTCTACCCCTGCTTCTCTACTTATTCTTCTACTCGTCCCACATTTCCCTAAATAACTGACCAAATTAACTTTTAACGATAAATGTAGATCACATACATGCTTTCCATTTTCTTTACAAACTATGTAATTTACATTTCTATGATAATCCATCCATCAATCATTGAATATGGAAGGAATAAATAAACTGGTTCCAAGCAATGCAAAGTACATTGCTAGTAGATGCAGTAATGGTTCTCCTTCTGCAAAGCTCTCCAGCAACACAACAGCACATCTCATGCTCTAAATAGTCATTTATTAGCTGCCCATCTCCAGCTTATCTCCATTTACAAGCTACTTAAGTGGCTCAATCACACAGTCTCCTATGCATGACTTATTTCTTTGTTATAATACATGTTTTTAATTCCTACACTATAAACAATACGGGCTTTTCAGCCATTGTTGTTCAAAGTGACACGGGACGTGTAGATGCTTGATTACTTAAAACTGAATTTTGAAAAGGTCAGGATTTTCCAGTTGAAATAAAATGTTATTTTACATTTGCATCTTGTTCAAATCAGAATTGATAAAATCTTAAACTAAAATGTTGTATAGTCAAATTACGTATATCCATCATATCTGAGGTGGCACTGACATGCTGATAGCTGAATTGCAATAAAAGGCCAATATCAGCTAAGACTGAGGCTCATACTGTTTGTTCTGATCATGATATTTTGTACTAACCTGCTAGTCACTTTGAGGAAGAAGTTTCTGCAAGCTCCTCCAACAAATTTTTTCATAAATAAATAAATGGTTTCGTAGACAGAATTTGATAAAAACTGCATGTTGCACCATTATATTCGTGACGCCAGTGAGTGTGTCATGCATACACCGGGGATATCATGTTGTGTGCAATGAAGTGTGTGCAATACATAAACATATAGAATGCCACACATGGGAATGTCAAAGGGCCCGTGGGGAATGATGCAAAGTTCAGCGATATACACATGTAGATCTAACACACACATACAGTTTTTTGCTGCTGTGTTTCCCAGCTGCTTGTAAAAAGTTCTTGCACTGATCTTGAATGCAGACTTAAAATAATGAGCCTTTTACTTGTGAGGATACTAAATTAGTTTACAGCTTTACAGCTGTTACAATCTAGTATAATTTTATAAAAATTAGATTGAACATGTATAGTCTTAGTGTGGCAGAACAGGGCCCATAAAACAAATTAAAATACATATTTGGACAGTCTCAAACCCAGTAGACTTTCTGTACTGTTATAAATGAATAAACCACAATTCCTCTGCTGTACATTAATTTTATATATTAATTGTTTAAAATATGATGTTCCCTTTCGGTCCATTCTGGGACTTTTTCTATATATATATTATTCTTAAATAATTAGGTATTGTCACTGATTTGCTGACAATACCCGAATGCAACTTTCTCTAAACCCAGGAGATACTCTATGTAAGCAATTAGACTTTTTTGTTTATATGAAAAAATATTTCTTCCAGATGATTATGGATGCATCTGAAATTCTGGTTTTTGGGCCCTGTATTCCTCCAGCCCTGCTGTCTGTTTTTTTTTTCTAACTATAGAAAACAACAGTTGTTTATAGCATAACAAGGACAAGACTATTGACAGCAAAACCACACAACATGGCAGATACTATCCTGTTCTGTCACTAATGGTGTCTCTTGTGATAAACACAGCGTGAGTAGAAAATGCCATCATACAAATAAGACAAAATAAGCAGCAGGAAATCTTGCTTGTTACTGTTGGACAGGAAAGGGAACCTAAGTCAGGAATGAGTAACATAATTGAGATAATTTAGATGCTTCTGATTACTATGTGAATGAAAGTCAATTTGGTCATAATTTCTATCAGCCATAGTAAGATTTTACAAACTCATGTCAATTTTTCAGATTTGGTAACACACCTCCCTCCACTTAAAACTATTTTTTTCTTCTTGTTCCTACAGTTCCTACAATGTTTGAGCTTCACTGTGCAGAATGATGTTTGTGCAGAATTTGACACTAGAAGGATGTTTTNNTCTGCTGAAAATGGAAAGTTTCTCGTTGCTCAGTGAAAAGCAGATTTTAAGGGATGGAGCCTACAAGTATTATTTGTGATTATTTGTGTGTCCAGCAGGATTTTTTAAAAATATATCAGACACAAATTATTGTTCTAAGCAGACTTATTTTATATACATATCTTAATATATGTCTGGAGGGGATCTTTTAATAAATGTCCAGGTTAGCCAAAATTAATTTGGAAGAGAAAACAAGGGAGACTGTAACGTTATTACCCAAAGTATCTGTTGTACTCATCCATCCCAGTTTAATGACTGACTTCCTGGTTCTTACTGTATTTGCCATAGCTACACTGTTCAATGAGGGATTATTGCAGACATTTGGCATGCTGTCACTGTTAGTTTTACCTCCAAGTAAAGTCTTATCTCTGTTCAGAAAAAAAACACGTTAAGGCTGATGTATTTTCTATAACTTCTATAACTAACTGCAAAACTGGGGATTTTCTCTCTTTGACTCACAACTAAAACTGCAAACCATGCTTCTCCTTCATTACACCTCCTTGAAAAACTGTCGAACCCAGCAGATTATATCCAGATTACAGTTTGTCCGAATTCTGTAGCTGCATTCCTGATGGGAGCTAAGTGGAGAAGACAATCTAATACTCCATTTTAACTTCACTTCATTGGCTACCAGGGCAATTTAGGGTTGATTGTAAAAATGTTATTGATCAGCACTAGCTGCACTTTTCTCCTTAGAGCCGTCTTATAACACCACATTGTTCCATTGTTGCTGCAATAAAATTGCCATTTAAGCCGCATTGAATATATAGACAGAGACACATTTTGCAGACATGAACAACTGTCTTATTATATCCTCTCACTCATGGCTCTGTAACCTCTGACACAATTTGGGTCATCATTCTCACAAATGAATATACTAGTCTGGCTAATGCTCATTACTGTCTCCTTTTTCCTCAGTCTCACATTCATGAATGAAAAGTCAATGTCCTGAATACTTTATAAGGACTGAGTGGGTCATTATGTTGAGGGTCACCCCAGTAACAGCCTCCTATAGCCCATTATTGCCGTATACTCCAGAAATGCAGCAATTACTCGCCATGTCTACTATTAGAATTGGCTGTTTTTGCTACAGAGGCAGCCAGCAGACAAACAGTGGTAAAGCTGAGGTCTGTCATGTGCTGGCCAGCGAGCATCATTCATGAGTGGGTGAGATGAAACATGGCACAATGACACGCATGCCTCTGAGGCTCGGTAAAGTGGCACCGTAGGGACTTCCTGTACTGTATGAGGAGCTGTCATCGTCTGGGCAGCGCACCAGCCCAATACGAGATGGTAATCGCTGTTTAGATGAGCGCTAGTGTGTTAGCTCTTGCTGGCATTGTTTGTGTGAATGTGCGTGTATTACCCATCTGTTACCAAATGTTAATCTGTGACAAAACAAATGCAACATCTGCAAGGCTTGGAGAGTTATTTTAACTAATGTATTTTCCTCTTCGTCCTCATTAGGAGATGATCCGTGCTGGCCTGATGCTGGGTCAGACGGAAGGAGAGCCAGGTGGCTGTCTGAATGGAACTGACACATTTGGGATTGTAAAATGCTCACGATCTGAGTCTTGATCATCATACAGGATTGATCCACCATGACAGCTGTCTCCATGGCCATGTCCAAACTTAACAGAGCCACTTTATTATGCTACCTCCAGGTTGGTTCAAAGTAAATAAAATGTCTGAAATCATCTAAAGTATGTGATGGCCCTCTGGCTGGCCCCTGGGCTGCCAGTTGTGTTTTGTGTCTCCTTTCAAGTTTAGGTAGGTGGAGTTTGTATTTGTGCAAGTGAGGGCACCTGGCCAATCCTTCCAGAATGCATTTAAGATCAGCTGTCCGCATTCATCGTCTCTGTCACTCCATTGCTGGCTGTCCCCCTTGCACCATGTTTTATTTTGTTTGGTTTGGTTTAGTTGCACTTATCTTAATTTTACACCATCCAACACTACACTTTCACGCATCACTAACATTACTGAACTACTGATTGTCATTTTCATACATTTCATTAATTTAGTTAATGCATTCTGTTGCCATTTCTGTAAAATAAATGATTGTTTGTTCTTCTTTTTCATGCCCTAAGAGCCAGGTCGTGACAATTAAAAAAAACTTAAAGCGGTACTAATCAGTATTTATATATTAAAAATATCAGTTGACAATTCGTAATATTAACTCATTTTACTCATTTGGTTTCCCAGCCTGCAACCCTGCTGTCATCATCCTCCATTCTAGTTGCAGAAGTCAACTGTTTTCAGCCAAAATAAAACTCTGATAATGCCACTGTACACTACCTACTCTAAACAGCAGACAGACACAGTTAGTAACTAGCTGGTTAACAAAGTGCCAAATATTTAGAGTTGGTAGGGACCAAAAACAAAGCTAAAAGAAGAATAAATAAACTTAAATCAGGTGGCCAGAAACATGAAATTAATGCTAATGTTGCTCTGTGTCTGCTGGATTTGAGGGCAATTGCTAACATGTTCATGTTGTGTTTTCAGCTTGTTTCACTGCCTCCAAATGGCTGAAGCATTCAAATATTTGGATATCATATCAGCTACTGGGTCAATAAACACAGCTACCTCCATCTACTTCTATCTCAGCTTTTCTTATATCTTATATCGTATCTTATCATCTTTGTATCTTTGTAAAGTTCAAAAAGCATAAAATAGTATAAAAGCATAAAACATCCAGATATGTTCACCAAACAGCTCCTGTAGTACAATTCAAGGGTTTTGAAGCCAAGAAAAAAATGCACTGTGGCAGTAAAAGTGTAATACATTATTTCCTGAATTTTCCTGCTTTGTGCCGGAACTCAACTGGAGCATTCTACATGTACAATTACAGCAACTACATGTGCATACATCATATGATGCATATTTATAATGGCAAATGCACTAAAGTAAAAATGTCCATAATATGAATATACATGTAAGGACTGCCATTTAACTGCCTTGTATATTTTCCTGAAAAAAAAATGTAATGCTTTGTGAACCTTTTCGTGTGGAAAACATGGTTCTTCCTTCCTGTTCTCCAGTATGAAGAATGAATATAGCCTACATGCTTGGCTTGTCCTGTCCTAGTGGGAATGGTACCAATATAAAAATGTTAATGCCATGCTCTACCAACTGAAGCCCATGGGACAAAATATGGAAATTTCTTAGGAGAAGTCTTTGGGCACCCATTAATATCATTATCATCACCACTACGGCGACTATCACATTTGCATGCCAGCGGATCGTGTGCTAAAGCTTTGAGGAACAATATCAGTCCACTAAACTTAGCTACAATGCTGACAATCTTCAGTCATGTGTCAGAATCAGCTCAACGTGAGAGCAACTGTGACGGACTGAGAGGAACCTCTGATGTGACCTCCTCGGACATTCTCTTCTAAAGTTTTGCATCTGCACTGACTGCCCAGTCCTTATGGTGAAGGTCGCATGTGTGCATGTGTGTGTTTTGTTGCATTTGGATGCGGAGTGTATGGGTGTTCCAACCAGCCATCCCCCCGGAGGTCACTTTGAAATGGAATAGATTTTTCTAGATCTCAGCCAAGGCTGTAGGGAAGGTCACTTCATTAATCACAGCTAAATGCCACTGTCTGCCCGTCTCCTTTCTTAACCAACTAACACCCACAGATAACATCATTGATTGATACCAATAATTAATTCTCTTTCAGTACAGAACGACAGAAAGTATCATTCAGTGGGGAACCTTTAATTACTATGTAAAGACTCATTAGGTTAATGTCATCGTGTGCTCTGGTGGTACGGGGGGCAAATAGATGTCTTCCTCTACCTGTGGCCTTTTGTGAAACAAGCTTGCTTCCCCCCCTCTCTCTTAGTTCCTGTGTCTCTCTAGCCGTAGCCATCTACGTGCCAACCTACTTTCTCTGCTGATTCAGTGTTGGGAAATGTCAAGTCAGATTTTGCTTGAGAGGATTTTGGCAGATGGGTTGAAGCACAAATGATGGAGGGAAGAACAGACACACAGGTTCAGAGTGTGTCTCTGCGAGTGTATGACTGTCAGTGTATGTGCATTTATGTTTGCAGTGATGTATAGGTAAGTGTGTGTATGGGTCTAGGGCTTTGTCTTGAGTCACATATACGCCACCAGTCACGCCAGTGTATCTGCATCACCAGCAAGAATAGAGGACATGCCATGTTATTTTATTATCTACCAATCTACGTTGTGTGAAGGAAGCTGATGCAATCTACCGCTCAGAGGCTTTTATTTTGAAAATAATACTCTATGACATGTTCACATAAATAAATGTGTCATCTACTACTATCTCATTCAGTCTCTTTGTTTCCGTTGCCAATTATTAAAGCAGGGTAAAGAGTCAAGCCATGAAAGCTTTTACATCTGCTGTTCTTCACATGGAGATCTCGAATAATCCTTCTGTACACAGCAAGTGATGCATTTTACATTTCAGACTCATCATGTATAAACAAAAGAATTTGGTTGTTAGCATCAGCGGGGATAGCCACAGTTGCTGAAAAAAAGGAGCAGGACCTACAGAAACAATGAAATTCAAAGAAAAACATGGGATTAAGGGATCACCACTCCATGACTCAGGTGTTACGAAATTAAAAGCTCTGAGTTTTTCTCAGCAGTTTACACATGAACAGATTTAAACAGTCCACACATCCATGGCTAAACAAAGCTGCACTGGTCACTGATGTGATAAAATGGCCTGAATGCACCATTCAGCTCAACCTGTGGCCCTCTGCTAGACATTAGCTCCATCTTGTGGGCTGTATTCAGAACTTTTCCTGAAAATATTGAGCCGCAACCACAGAGACCTGGGTGTGACGTCTTCTCACATTTCCAAATTCATAGCTTTTATTCACACAGAACAAACGTCTGAATTAGACTGTGAGACTGTGTGTGTGCCTGTAGTAGATTCAGGAGCGACCGATGACATCGATCTGCTATATCTCGCAAAAGTACCATTTCAAAACAAGCTTATAGCTCAAAGCATATGTGTCAGGCTTAGCAGGCTTAAAGAACATTTGATGCTGTGTTTTTGAAAATGGGATCATCATTTCATTGTTCAAGCAAAGCATAAATCCACATTGACTGATATGACTGTAGTTGCTTTTTGCAGCCTTTACAATATAAACTGTTTATTTCAATCACTGTGTGGGTGATATTAAATATGCATTAGCGTATCATCATTTTACTTAATCCATTTTGCTTTATTTGACTCTTAGACATGGCACGAATGTCATTGAATTATAGTCTGAACTATTATGTTCCTACAGTATGAAAGAAAACTGATTGCCTTTAAACAACTCGTATATCACAAAATGCTGACAAATTCCGTCTACTCTAGCCAACTTATAACAGACATATCTGCCATATATTTTCTGCCAGAAGTTGATGTAATTCGAGTACTAGAAGTTAATCAAAATCTTTTGTGTTTGGTATCACATAAACTCTAAAAATGTCTCGCAAATTTGGCATTTTGCTGACATTTACCCAGACAGAGTGACAGCCCTCTTCAAGCAGTTGATGAAAACTATTTTTGGAAATGACCCGGGAAGATTGACTTAATGCAAATATATACGAGCCAATGGATTTATGATCAATATTGGCGGCAGAAGACAGACAACAGATGTATTTCAAATTTATCAGCCTGCAGGTAGTATATAATTACATAGAACAATGTAAAGTATGCAGATATGCCCATAATGTACATCTATGGTAGAATTAATCCAATAAATCAAAAGTATATCCACAGGACTGAGAGACACAGTGTGTCTGCCAGAATATACATAAAACGTTCTAGGTTTTGGTCAAGGTGAATGACAAGGTGAAGGAAACTTTTATCTCATTTGGTTCATTTTACAGTTAGACTATAAAATTAAGCCTGTGCCAGGTACTAAATTGTCCTTTGAAAGTCATTGGCTCCAGCTATTAATGGATTATTCTTTTAAATGTTACTTTACAGGAGGGAGCCCATTGTAAACCACATGCCTGGGGGTTATATCATGACACTGGGCTTTTATGCGTTTTATGAACTGAAAGGCATCTGACGTTTATTGTTTTTTTCAATTACTGTAGCTGTTTTATACTGCACAGTGGTTACAGCAAAAAGGTCTTGGGTTCTGACCTCATATGGGTCCTTTCTGTTTGAAGATCTGCCCGTGGCTTTCCTCTGAGTGTTCCAGTTTCATCCCATAGTCCAAAGATATGTCTGCCTGTGTATTTGCCCTGTGATTAACTGGTCAATTTATGGTGAATGTTGTGTGTGCGTGCTGTCATAGGAGTTCCCACAAGAATATACAATTTAGAAAATGGATGGACAAATGAATGGAGGTACAGTTGTCAACTTTACTACAGTGGGAATCAACATAACTTTATGAAAAGCATTGATTTATGTTTGTTTTTATGTCACTTAGATATTCATCAGTGCAATTTATTTAGCTCATTTAGAATAGCAGTTCATTGTGGCGGGTAAAATTGTGGCTAGTTTTTATAATGTAAAAGCAAAATGAGAAACCTGAGCTTAAGTAGGTTTTGGTATGTTTATACTGATCACTGGAGCATTGATTCTTTAAACTTTTGTATTCTGCATGTGCTGCAGTGTGGGAATGCATTCACTGTATGTTAGATAT